TCCACACCTTGGACAATGATTTTAAAAGATCTTGGGGAGCAGAGACCATTCCTCCAGGTCTATGTGTTGATGGCTTAGGACGTCAAGGAAGTCAGCATGCCATGTGTTGACTCCAGGAATGTGGATGGCCAAGAGAGCTGCAATGCAATTTTCTGCCTTGGAGAATAGCAGACTTGTTTTTCTTTAGGGCAACCTGACTTCTGGTGCCCCTCTAATGGTTTATGTAGGCCACTGATGTAGTATTGACTGATTGCACCCTGAATGGGTGATCTTGCAGAAGGAATGTCCAGTGTCAAGTTAATCTGATGGCTAACAGTTCCAAAATCTTGATGGAGAGTTTCAACTCCACTGGGGATGAGAGGTGCAAGGATGTCATTAAATCTGCTTTATTTTGGTCTGAAGCTGGCAGACTAGAAGTTAAAAAGCAATAATGTAATAGAGAGATAGAAACTCTATTTTGAACCCCTTTGAAATGACAGGTTAGATCCACACAGGCACAAATACAAACAGACATCCAAAACTCTGAGGAGTTGGGGCACCCCCTCATTGTGAGGAGAGCCTCTTGTCTTGATTGGAGAACCTAAGAGTCCAGTGCTTGTAACAAAAGGAAGTGTTAAGCCTTGGTTTTGAGGTTGATGCCTGGGGGAACTAAAATATTCCTGTCACTGAGCAGAAGTCGTAGATGTTCTCTACATTCTCTAGAGCATCAACACAATACATTAAGGCTGAGAGCATCAGCAGGGTCATTAAAAACTGGTCCCTGTGCTCTATCCATTTTCCATGTCCAGTTAGCAAAAGTCCAGCAAATAGACAAGGCAGCAATTGCTGACTGCAGGGCTGGACCTGCAAGGGGGCTTCCAAACGCCTATCAACAGATCGTTAAAAGTGAGAATATCTACAATAGGAACTGTAAGGTTTTTATTGAGAATTGAATTGGCAGGATCCACTGCTGAATGTCCCATTTCTTCTTAAAATCTTTTTTCATAGGATAAATCTTAGCAAAAAGCTTAGGAATGAATACCTTCTAAATTCTGCAGTGTATAAGAAAAGTCTTTCTTGAATTAGCCAGGCTCTTAGTGCTCAGAGGGGCTTGTATTAGATGTGGAGAGGCAGGTGCTTTTAGGCAAAGGCTAGTGTGCACTGCGTCAATTAATGTATCCACAGTACAGAGAATTTTGTGGCAAGTTTTAGTTTGTGGTTTATAAATTGCAGGGGAAGTAAAATATTCTGTGTTCTCTGCTACAAAACAAGGGTCCTCAATTCTTTCCTCCATAATGCAATAAAGGAAATTCTGCTAACGAATGCTGAACAGGGTCAGGGGAATAGAGGACATACAGTGTTTCTGGTCTCTGATAAGTGAAGGTTCTAGAAACTGCAAACACTTTCTAAAGAATTCAGAAATAGTGGCAGAGAAATCTACTTCTTTGTGACAAGTCAGAGAGAGCTGAAGTATGAGAAGGGGAGTGGTGTGATAACAGGACATTGCTCTAGGACAATAGAACAGTTATCACCTTAAAGCGGAGTTCCAGTTGAATAAAAAATAAATAAAAGTCAGCAGCTGCAAAAACTGTAGCTGCTGACCTTTAAAATACAGACACTTACCTGTCCCTCAGTCTCGCAGTGTCCTCACCACTGCTGGTTTCACACTGGCAATCTTCTCTCCCCGGCATCTTTAGTGTGGGCACCTGGCTGTGATAGCTTGCGGCTTCACAGCTGTGTGCTCACTGCGCATGTGCGAGTAGTGCTGCACTTTGTGAATGGTCCTGTAGTCTTCTGGGACCTGTCACGTGTCCCAGAAGACTACGGGGAAGTAGAACAACTTCTGCTTCCAATCGCCTTAGGCGATCGCACCGGAAGTGGGAGTGCGTACCTGTCAAATTTGGGTATCCACTCCCCGCCCCCAACAAAGGTGCCAATCCTTAACAGAGAGTGGGGGACAAAGCCTTAAAGCGGAACTTTCCCCTTTCGAGTGGAGCTTCACTTTAAGTGGTGTCTTGAGCTTCTGTAGGCAGTCTGTAGAATGCATGTTGTTTGGCCCTTTTGCCATAGCTCCTTTGCACCTGTGATCTGCCATTGCTAAATGAGGAGGCCCCCAGTAGCAACATTTTTGGTGGAAAAAGACAGGCAGAAATGGGTCAGCCGGAAACAGTGGCACAACTAGGGTTGGTGTCACCTGGTGCGGTAAGACGATTAGAGACTGCAGACATTATACAAAAGATGGTCAGAAACTGCAGACATGATAAAAGAGATGAACAAAGACTGCAGACTTGACACAAGAGATGGTCAAAACTGTGGACATGATGCAGGAGATGGTTAGACACTGCGGACATGATATAAGACATGTTTAGAGACTGCAGACAGGAGACAAGAGATGGTTAGAGATTTCAGACACGATACAAGTGATGTTTAGAGACTGCAGACACGATACAAGAGATGGTTAGAGACTGCAGATACGATACAAGAGATGGTTAGAGACTGCGGACACAATACAAGAGATGGTTAGAGACTGCGGACACGATACAAGAGATGGTTAGAGACTGTAGATACGATACAAGAGATGGTTAGAGACTGCGGACATGATACAAGAGATGTTTAGAGACTGCAGACACGATACAAGAGTTGATTAGAGACTGCGGACACGATACAGGAGATGGTTAGAGACTGCAGACATGATATAAGAAATGGTTAGAGATTGCGGACACGATACAAGAGATGTTTAGAGACTGCAGACACGATACAAGAGATGGTTAGAGACTGCGGACACGATACAAGAGATGGTTAGAGACTGTAGATACGATACAAGAGATGTTTAGGGACTGCAGACACGATACAAGAGATGGTTAGAGACTGCGGACACGATATAGGAGATGGTTAGAGACTGCGGACACGATACAAGAGATGTTTAGAGACTGCAGACACGATACAAGAGATGGTTAGAGACTGCGGACACGATATAGGAGATGGTTAGAGACTGCGGACATGATACAGAAGATGGTTAGAGACTGCAGACATGATATAAGAGAGATGGTTAGAGATTGCAGACACAATACAAGATATGGTTAGAGACTGCGGACATGATACAAGAGATGATTAGAGACTGCAGAAAAACCACAAACCGTAATGGAGAATCTATAAGTTGGTCAAATTAATAACAATGCATGATAGTCACTAAGGATCAGCAAGAAAAAAGTAATAAAAAAAGTAATTCCCAGGTAAATTAAAATAAAAGACACAGTTATTCAATCCATAAAAATCATAAATGTAAAATTCTTGTGCAAAGGAAACAACTTACATGGATTTCTGCAGAGCCTGGGATGGGAGGATGACTCATTGACCCGGGCCCAAGACTAGACAGCTGTGTTCCCTGGGGCTCTCGTGTGGTGCAAATGGAATACACACACCAACAACCACTGGAATCAGGTAATGGAGTCACGAGCAGCCCTGGGGGATGCTGCAGTTGGACTGGACGTGACATCAGAAATGTGGCAAGAAGCCAATAGGAGGATGCTGGACGTGGGCAGAGAAGGTAGTTGAGCTGCCTGTGGAATGTGAGCTCCGAAATGGCCGAGCATGTCCGAGTTCACTCAGCTTTGGAACTGCACATGCACAGTTCAAAAGTCATCATGAGTTTTTGGGTTTTGTTATGGATGGTCGGCAACCCTGGTGTCACCTCTCTGGCGGGTGTCACCCGTTAGTGGTGAGCGACCCCTGCACCCTCATAGCGACGCCACTAACCAGAAGGCATGATGCATCTATATCACGTACCTGGTGATGGAGGCCAATGGAAAGAGGGCGGAACTTCACCTGCACTATGGGCAGGCCTTCCCTGACAGAGAGAGAGAGTATCCGTAAGCAAAGCTGAGGTCAGATCAGGTGTAAAGCAGAGCAGACAGGTCCAGGAGCAAGTCGAGTCGGTAACAGGAAATCACGGGTCAAAATCACAGGGAACAGGAACAGGGGCACAAGGAGATAGAGATCATCCAGCAACTTGTGAACGTGATGAGCCCCTTATAAAGGCCGTCTGGCACCAAACTGAGGCTGATGTGTGCTTCTGCGGCCATGCAGAGTACTGGCAGAAATGCCAGATCTTCCAGAACGTCTGCCGTGGAAAGGACCCTGACAATCTACTCCATCCTCTGGAAACTAGGTCTAGATGGAAGGAGAAAAAAAATTCCCCATTCCTCTGCCTATAAAACCACATAGTGTGCTACTGCAGTTTATCTTATTAAAAGCCAGAAATCTGGAACATACAGGGAAATCCTGTCATACTCTAGCCAAGATACTAAGCCTACTAGGATTCCAGGCTTCATCTGTCAAGGGGAGCATACATGCAAAGTGGTATTCAGGATCTGGGAACCATAGAAATAGACCATAGCCTGGGATCTGCAAACTACTCTGGGGCCATAGGCGTAGCATCAGGAAAGGCCCAATATATATGCGATGGCAACAAAGAATGGTTACATTGTTACTCATCAATAAGGGCTGAATGATCTTTATCCAATGATGTATAGTATATAGGACAGCAAGATGGTGTGTCCACGTGCAGCACAGCACAGATGGGCCTTTCCATCTGTGATTATTACAGTTACTCTACAATAAAATTCTCCTTTTCTGAATGTTCCTTTGGTTATGCAAATACCTTGACGCTGGCTCATATAAGCCCTTCAATAGACTAATGTTTTTTGAACCGCGGAAGGTTTTTCCATTCCTGGCCCCATATGGTGACCCCAATGGCATTGGCAGTAAATGGTGTATCCAGACAATATTTACTTCATCATTTCAGCATTATTTTTTACTGTATAAAATACTTAAGTGGTTATATCCAACAAGTTTGCAATCATACAATTATAGTCATATATTACACGTCAGATGTATGACTACTGAGCAACATACAGTATTTGTACATGCAATTTCCTGTAATCATGTTTATTGAATATCATTATTAATTTTATCCTTTTGTATTGATAAACTATTGTGCTTTTTGGACAATGTTTTTGTTCGTAGCCTCCCTGGCGGTATTCCCGAGTGTAGCTCGGGGTAAAGTTTCAGCACCACAAGCGGTAACCCCGAGCTACACTCGGGAATATCATGCAGCATTGCTCCGGGATCTCTTCTTCACTTACCTTGTCCTGCGCTCCCACGATGTCCCTCCTGAAGTGTAACTTGTAATGTCCTCCGGCGGATGCCGGGATCTGTCTTCTGGGTTTCGTCCCCTGTGACGTCAGGACGTACGGGGACGGAATGGCGGTAAATTTGAAAATGACAAAAAGTGACATTCACTAAATTCACTAAAATCACATAGTAAAACATTACTGTATCAAACCATTTCACATACATTTTGTCCCGAGTGCTTTGTCCTGTGCCCTGCCTACATTTTTACTGTTCTTTCTGCCTGGAAACTGAGAAACGTCCATGGCGTCCAAAAAGTGTCCCTTTAGGTCAAAATCGGTTTTAGACCAGCTAGAGAACAGCGATAGTAAATTAGAACCACTTGCAGAATTGAGTGATAATGATTCGTGGGGAAATTCGTCATCAGACACTGAAAACGATTTTGCGACTTTGCTCAGTGATGTGCGAACTTGGCGCTATATTTCAAATTTCAGTGTTTTTGGTTTGATTATGTTATTGAATTAATATTATTATTATTATATTATTATTTTTTATGATTATTTATTAAATTATAATTTATTATTTTGTGTTTCAAATTTTATCATACCCGGGATGTTTATCAGACTCTTGTTCGGACAGATTTCAGTGAATTATTCCTAAAAATTACAGGCATACAATAAAAAAAAAACATATTTCCATGCAAAAAAATGTACCGCTTTGAGCACAGAAATATGGACATAATCAGACCGCTAGGGAGGTTAATATTTGGCTCATTGGCTAGTGTCGCCCTTTAAAGTCCCATCTCCAGGGGGGGAATTCTTTTCCATATGCATTACTTCAGGGGGTGATGGCGACATGTAGCTCATACCACCTTAATAATTTTTTAACCTTACTGGGGAGGGGGGGGGGGCAGGTCATGTCATTACTGGGGAGGGGGCGAGGTCACGTCATTACTAGGAAGGGGGACCAGGTCTTGTAATTACTGGGGAGGGGGGGACCAGGTCTTGTCATTACTGGGAGGGGGGGGCAGGTCATGCCATTACAGGCGAAGGGGGGCCAGGTCATGTCATTACTGGGGAGGGGAGTCCAGGTCATGCCTATACTGGGGAGGGGGTCCAGGTCATGTCATTACTGGGGAGGGGGGGCCAGGTCATGTCATTACTGGGGGGGGGGCCAGGTTATGTCATTACTGAGAAGAGGGGGGCAGATCATGTCATTACTGGGGAGTGGGTGCCAGGTCATGTCATTACTGGGGAGGGAGTCCAGGTCATGTCATTACTAGGATGGGGGGGCAAGGTTATCTCCTTATTGGGGGGGCGAGGTCATATCATTATAAGATGGGGTTGAGGTCATTTCATTACTAGGATGGGGGGACAAGGTTATGTCATTACTAGAATGGGGGGTGAGGTCATGTCATTACTAGGATGGGGGGAAGGTCATGTCATTACTCGAATGGGGGGAAGAGGTCATGTCATTACCATGATGGGTAGGCAAGGCCATGTTATTACTAGGATGGGGGGAGGGGGCGAGGTCATGTCATTACTAGGATGGGGGGGGGGGGGGGGGGGGGCGGCGAGGTCATGTCATTACTAGGATGGAGGGGGGTGAGGTCATGTCATTATTAGGATGGGGGACCGAGGTCATGTCATTACTAGAATGGGAGTGCAAGGTCATGTCATTACTAGGATAAAGGGGAGACAAGGTCATGTAATTACTAGGATGGGGGGGAAGGGGCAAGTTCATACCATTACTAGGATGGGTGGGCAAGGTCGTGTCATTACTAGGATGGCTTCTACAAAATCTTTTGAATTACCCTCTCAATATTTAAAAAATGCTCTGAAACAACTCTTTAGCCACTTGGAGTATCTTGGCATGTAATGAGAGTATCTTGGTGCACAGTGGCTAGTGGTAGTGGGGGGGGGGGGCAGGTTAACTTTTGCATCGGGTCCCACAAGCTTTAAACTACGACTCTACCTGGGGTTAACTACACATGCTGTGCTTCATGCCAAGGTGAGCACCTGTTGCAGGGTTCATTGCCCAAAGCAAACATTACAAAACAGCCATACACAGTGAGATCTGGGTAAGGTCCCCAAGGTAACATCAAGGGGTGCTGATTTGGAAACTGCTAGATAGCCCAGAGCAATATCGGGTCAGGACTTGATAGAGGTACCAGGAGAAAAAAAAATGTAATGGTTTAAAAAGAAAAACACTTCTCCAGTGAAGAGGTCTGTCACCCAAGGACACTAGCAAAAAATTGAAGCCTCATGAAGTGGACGGGATTATATGAGTGCACACTATGGATGGTCCTAGCAATGTTTTTGCCAATCCAATCATTTGAAGATAACCTGCATATAACCCATGGTGTAGGAATACAAGCCATGTGTCCTGTACAGTACAAGATATTGATATTTCTGATTTTGAGAGATTTTAGTCAATGGATCTGTACACCTGATTTGGCCATCATCAGGTTTTTTTCTACTCTCATTTTATTTTATTTAATTGTATGTATGTAGGAACATAAGAAACTATTTATTGTTTCAAATGCAAAATTTTTTATCATAATCTCAAACTGAATTACCCAGGTGTGTGATAGATCTACTTTCAGTAAAAGATAATAATTCTATGTTCTCACTTCCATAGTAATTGGTATTTACATTATCTTTATTGAGATCTCCTAGATTGACACATATAGATACATCTGTATGTTTGCTAATTAACCAAACACAAGCCACAAATGTGTATACATATACTATGCTCCATGTAAGTTGTGTTCTAGTTCTGCACCAGTGGCCCCTACCGCCTGATATAATGACCTGCAATTAGTGGCAAGGTTATCCCACCATGTGAAATGATTACACATTTTCACCTAACCACACAGAACTAGAGGTTTCTGCCTCTCTTGATGTGTTAATTGTCACTTTCTTAGGAATTCCATTACAGCAAACAGTGGGACATGTTCATGCTTTCTAAATAAATGATGATTACAATAATAATATCTCTGCCTTCACTTAGTTAAATCTGTCTTAAATGGCTCATTAGTGGGAAATATCACAATTTATATTACAGGCTGCACAGTCACAAGAATATTATTTTCCTATAATTATACAGTTGTTTTCCATGTGCAGCTAAAGAGAAGAAAGCATCACTTAGATGATGTTTGAAGTGACAGTTTCAGTGGATTGTGCTGTCTTGCTTCATAGTATAATGTATATATTTGTTTCCAAATCTGTGATCTATAATCAAACAATGTTGTGCTGATGCCTATAGCTTTGATCACCCAGTGTTTTTTTTTTTTTAAACTACTGTAGTTGCAACATGGCTCGTTTGCTCTTATTTGGAGTGATGTTGTCAATTGTGCCTAGCTGTATTCTCCAAATGGGCAGACAGAAAACTGCATGTTGGGCTTTAGTTTAAACTATCTTTTTTAAAAAATAAACTGGTCCCTCAGCAGTGAAAAAGAATCAGCTCAGGGTGCAATACTTCTTTTCCCCATTCTTCTGTCTTGAATGATACTCAGTACCACTCATACGACTGAGGACTGTTAATGTAGGGCGTCATGGACCCACCCCCAAGGAGGAATTACCACAGCACCCTAATTACAATGAAGATGGAATCATCTCAAGGACGTCATCATGTCAACAATGTTCCTTTTTAAAAAAACAAAAACATACACACTGGGGGACCTTATCACGTACCTAGTGCTTGAGGCCAATGGTGAGAAAACCTTCCCTTACAGATAAATTCCAGACTCCCCTGAAGGTGGAACAGGAGGAGTCAGGCTCAAAGAAGCACTGGTCGTCTTCTGGGGATACTTGCAGTGATGTTCTGACTGAAATGTTGTGAGAGGAGATGTCCAGGTATATAGCTGAGTGTCAGGGAAGGCCCACAAATGTGCGCGTGTGCAGGTCTCCTGTCAGCTCCATTCATGGCCAGGTGGGTGGCGGGTGCACTGTCGCGTGCGCATGCTCATGCGTGAAGGCACTTTGTCGCCAGGTGGGCTATTTAAACTGAGATGGGACTCTTCCTCAATGCCATTTGGTCTTAACCCTGTGCTCCTGTGTATCCTGCTATCTGTTTTGCTATTGCTGATCCGACCTCTCATTGACCTTGCAAGAAAGCCGCCTGCCTGGACCTCTGCCTGCCCTCCGGACTATTCTTCTGCCTGCTGATTCTGTCTGATTTGCTGCTTGTTGCTGAACTGGACCGCCCGACCTTGCTTATGTTGATCCTGTTTCTACCGGCTTACCCTGCCAGTATCCTGCACCTGCACATCTTCCTGAGTGTTGGATGCCTAACCAATCCTGCATCTCTGCCAGTGTGCCATCTTCCAGCCGCTTCTGCATTCCTGAGGCACATCATTTCCATGGAAATCCCATCAGGCACTCGTGCATCTCTGTGGTCTGGCGCTCCCTGTCACTTTACCAGGGCCCCTGAGCCAGAGCCGCAAGGGAGGCCCTCCTCTACATCTCAGGTTCTACCATCAGGTATGTGACACTGAGGCACTGTGATGGTGTCTACAAACAGTTGGTACCCATGGAAAGTAGCAGGTCTCAAGTAGAGCAGAGGTCAGGAGAGGAGGCCAAGGTCAGGTACCAGGTGTGAATATAACAGTAAATGTAGTCAGGAGGATAGCCAGGGTCATACACAGGAGAGCAGAGAGAGACAGTCCATTAAACAAGCCAGGGTCAGATCAGGAGGCAGGCAGAAGACAGGTGCAGAGGCAAGCCGAGTCGGTAACGGGTATCCACAGATTCAAGGGTTTGACAGGCTTCCTTTATAAAGGCCATTTGGTGCCAATCTGTGCTGGGAGCATGTGCAGCCATGCGCGTCTTCGTGCATTCCTGCGGACACGTAAAGTACTGAAAGGAATGCCAGGTCTTCAAATGCTTCTGCTTTGGACAGTACCCTGGCAGACCTCCAGTATTGGAAAGGAGGTCATTCTCTGGGGGAGCATAAAGGCTAAAAGCCTAGCCTCTGGCTTAAATGCCCAATGCAGGCAAAATGTTTACAGCTTTAAATTGCATGGGGGACTGCCTTCATTAGTTTTTTGTGTTCTTGTTAGAGAAATGTTTCCTCATTTCCTGGAAGGTATGAAAGCACGTCACCATGACAAGTAAAGTGCAGTCTTTTCCCACAAAGATGCGAATAGGCTAGCAATAATTATTATTTTTGAGAACAAAGGCTAGCAGTTTTGTCAGATTTACATCGTTGTTTACCTTTTGTAAACC